CCCCGTTGACCCCTCTCAAACCTGACCTATCGCCCCCCAGAGCGGTTCTTGGCCCCGGGTGCTCCCTCGCGGTCGCTGCTGCCGTTCGGCTGCGGGGCGCGATCGTGCCCAGGGGAGGGGCTGGCGCGGGCCGAGCTCTTCGTGTTTCTGGGGCTGATCCTGCGGGAATTCCGTCTGGAGCCGGGCCCGGGGGGATTGCCGGGGCTGAAGGGGTCGCCGGGCACGGTGCTGCGCTGTCCCCCCTTTCGCCTGCGCATGGTGCCCTGCCAGCCCCTGGGCTCACCCTGACCCTGGCCTGACTCCACTTGACTACTTTATTACTTTTCCTGAAAACTGTGACTCGCCTGAGTTTTTTTGACCCTTCCTGAATACACCTGACTTCACCTGACCCTGTGTGACACTGCCTGGACCTGACTGACCGTGACCCCCTGACTGACCCCACCTGACCTCGGTCTCACCCCTGCCAACCCTGTACCTCTCCTTGACACTGGCTATGACCCCAGCTGTGACCCTATCTAACCCCATGTGACCCTGCTTGAACCCTGCGTGACTCCATCCCAACTCACCTGACCCTTACTAACCCCACCTCACTCCACCTGATTCTACCTTGTCCCTGCCTGACCCCAGGGTGTCCCCATTCAACACCCTAGATGCCTGGGTTTCCCCTCGATGCCAGGGTCAATGCAGTGTGGGAGGACCCCATTTACCTCCTCCCAATAAAATTTATTCTTTTGGCCTCACCTCGCAAGTCCCGACTCTTCCTGGGGCACCCAAAACCTCCGGAAGGCCCGAAGCCAAGTCTTGTCCCCAACCCAGACTGGCCACTCTTGGCACCCACCACAGCCACAACCCTCGGACAGTATCAGGGGATGCTGGGCTGGCTGATCTGCACTTCCCCGCTCCGCAAAGCCCCTCCCCGGAGAGGCTGCGGTCCGGGCCGGCGGCGCAGCCCGGCGGGACCGGGCAGGTGGCGCAGAGTTCTGCTGATCTGCCTGGCAACAGATGACTCGAAGCAAGAGGCGCTCTAATTGGCCGAGGGTTGGTGTGCCTGGCGAGCGATAGTTCTGATAGGTTTGGAGCTGCTGAGGGCGGGAGGGGAGCAGGGCGCTGACCCCAGAGCGACACCCCGAGAGAGGGACTCGAGGAGCGGGCAGCTGGTGCGCGCTGCAGGATTGAGTGCCGGCTCCGAACAATACCGAGGGAGCGGGAGGCCAGAAGCGCTGCCCTCGACGCAAAAACACGAGAGAGAATAGCGAGGAGGGGGCAGGGACGGGACGTGACCGCCCGTGCCCCAGGGTCGTATGTCCAAATGCGGACAACGCCATGGGAGAGGTAGGCAAGGCAAAGGAAGGGAAGGGTTAGTCGGTAAGGAAAGGCAAAGGAGGGATAGGCAATTCAAGGGGCCAACAATATCAAGGAAAGAGTGGGGTAGGTAAAGCAAGGAAAGGGAAGGATAAGAAACGCTAGGTAAGAGGGTGTTAAACAAGGGAAAACAACAGAGGGGCAGGCAAGGGAAAGCAAGGCAAGGGGTCCAGGCAAGGCAAGGGGAGGCAGTGGAAGGCGACATAGGAA